GCAGGTCACAAATCACAACAACACAAAACTAAGTATTCTTCTATTTTTTTCATTAAAATGCAATATTATGCTAATTGAAAAGTGTTGATTTATTTATAAATAAAATACTGCAGTGTAATGTAGTGAGATACTTTAAATGTTGACGTCTTTTTAAAGAGTAATCACACAATTATAACATCTATTATTACCTTTTCCGTTAAGTTTGACACAGTTACATACACCAGCAATTTATCTGAGTAAATGTTACAAGTGCCACTGCCTTATTTATAACAAATCAATACAACAATATTCAAAACAGACATGAAAAATCTCAGTGACTTCACTCATGGAGCTGTTAATGTTAAAGTTCAAATACTTAATTAACAAGGATTGTAATCTTTTCAGTGATATTGCTTGTTTGTTACCAGTGTTTCTGTGGCCAAGTGAAAAAGATACCAAGAGACACCGTGAGACTGTTTAAATGTAACTAAACACCATTTTTCTGGCCCTGGGATAGAAGAGTCACAGACATTTCTAAGTGTCCACTAGTGAATGTTACACTATGTAAAAAATAAAATAAAATAAATCCAATCAACCACAGAGAGCCAAACCACTTCCTAACATCAGTTTACAGCCGAACAGATTCCAACAGTAATTAAACAGTAATCAGCTGTTTAAACAAATCATCATTGTAATCTTGTGAAAATCCATTAAAATAGCATCAACAATCATTGCTCTGGCAAACGTGTTCTGGTGTGTTATGTGGATGACTAATAAATGCTTAACAACAGTATGGCAAAGTCAGAAGTATATTACATCATTCTTGCAACAACTGACATGAATGAAGATGTTTACGCCTACCTGTGTGGGCGTACACATGTCTGTAACTCAACGGTATCTTTGAGCGTGGAGAAACCTGCCCGACCGCTTTCTTCCGGTATTACTGGGAGCATAGCTGTTGATCAGCTTGTCATTAAGTGCTTGGATGAAAACGGTGAGAAATTTGGGTTTATACATGGATTTATTGTGGGTTCGCTGCACTAGTTTGATGTTGTAGCATATCAGAAAGAAATGTACTCATGTTTTCTTTTGTGTTTTTTCTGTTTGTTTTGTTTTGTTTTGTTTTGTTTTGTTTTGTTTTGTTTTGTTTTGTTTTGTTTTGTTTTGTTTTGTTTTGTTTTGTTTTGTTTTGTTTTGTTTTGGGGTTTTTTGGTTTTTTTTGGTTTTCTTTAGTTTTGTTTTGTTTTGTTGTTTTATTTTGTTTTTCTTTTGTGGCAAGTGAATAAAAATTAAGAAATTAAAATAGAAAAAATAGGGGAAAGAATATTCATAAAGCCAGATGGAGGATGAAATAACTTTTTTGACGTTCTGTCAAGCAACACGCGACAGTGTTAGTCGGAGGCTAAATGTGCTTCTCTAGCCAACAACAGAAGGTGGGGCAGGTTATTCATAATAGAGGAGGTTTGACAACATCCACTTTTCTGTCACTGCATGCAGATTGTCCATCTCCACCCATTTCCATCTCATTAAGCTTTTTATTATTGTTATTAAGCCTAGTATAAGCTTCGTTTAAGCCTATGATTATTACCACCTTATTGTTGGAAATAATGGTGGATTTTAGTCTTTAAGCTTTATAAAGCTTTATAAAACAATGTCTATATATGTATGTCCCCTTTAATAAGTATACAAGAGGAGAGAAATGTTGCCTCCTTTTGACTAGGTGGTTGCCTAGTCAGTGGCTTATCTTTATCAGATGTTATGATACCATGAGGTTGTTTGGTGGCAGCATAACATCTGGTAGAAATAAGAAACCTCAAGAGCCAAGGATGCATCTGTGTGCCAAGTTTGGCTGCTAAACGCTTGGGTTCAGCTCCTGATTGACACAAACAAGCACATTGGCAGAGAATTTGGGTTTTATAGCAAAGCTGTGTAGATGCTGTAAGGGATTTGCTCGTTCCGCATCACTTTGAAGTCACCTGTGGATGTTTCAGGCTCTGGTTGCCTAGGTGACCGTAATATATTTAATACCAGTTCATACATAAATCAGCCGGATTGTTCACTCTCATTGGTAGTCACTTCAGTTGTTCACCTGAAAGATGAGAAAAGTTTATCATCCATGTTGTGTTACCAGCAGTTATGCCTTTACACCATTCACTTTCTTCACTTTCTGCGATCTCCACTCACCAAAGTGCTTCCAGTCTTGAGGTAGCTCACCTACATTAGGCCCGCTGTCTTTATCAAAACCAGACACACAAGTGGTTTGGTCCAAACAGCAACACAAAAGAATCATTTCACGGCTTACATTGCAAAGTTTATATTTCCCTTCATGGAACAGAAAGGTCTTTTACCATCAGCCGAGCTTTGCATTGGGTTCTGTTAAGAAAAACCCTTCAAGGATTTGCTACGCACAAACAAATGCTGGATCCATATCAGCAGGTGAAAGTATGAACAAATAAACTCATGCTGACTTCTTTAGGAAAGACAAACAAATCTAACAATGGGCAAATTTTCCAAGTTGGATAACACAGGAGATAGCACTGATGTACTCACTGTTACAGCTGATGACCATTTTAAGGGCTTCCCCTCTCTATGATATATGAGTCCAAGAGTAAAAAAAGAATCTCAATAAGGCTTACCTATGATGAAGAAGAAAAACAACAGCTGCGTGCCTCGTTATTGGACTTTTAAATTGTATGAAAGCATAATAGGTATACTTTAAATAGTTTAAATCATGTAAACCTAAGGTTTGAACTCTTATATGGAGGCACTGTTGACCGCCGCTCCACCATAGCAGCCATAGTCACCCCTCCTAAGCATTTTTCACACCTAACCAACCCCAGAGTGGGGCGTAGTTCAATAGCTTGCTGTCTGGAGTCTCCCCCTTTAGACGGAGTCTCGATAACCACGGCTCAGGCAGTTTTGACAGTTACAAAAACCTTCACGCATACACAACTTACAAAAAGCTCAAAAAGAGCTTTGCCACCTTTGGGGAAATGCCCACTTGGGCCTGAACTCAACAGTAGGGGGTCAAAATTCTTGAGCAGAGAGAGACCCTTCTCAAATTTTCACCTGTGTTTTTTCTTCTAGGCCCCATTTGCAACCAATATAGATTTCTCATTAACACTAAAATAGCACCAGCTTTTCTTCTGAAACTAAAGGAATTTCATTTTCCCAAGAGGAAGAAAAAGAAATAACACTGACACACAATCCTTCAGTTCCCTCATTTTTCCTCTCTAGGTCTGTCAGGAGATGGGTAGGATGTCTTTCTGCTCAGTGCCAGGGGCTCTGACAATGATATGGTTCAGGTCAGAGAGAAGCTGTGAAAAAGAAAAATTACGTACAACCAGATAGAGGCTGAGAAGGGAAAACCATAAAACGGGAAAACAAATATGGATAAACCAGGAAAGAACAGAAATATCAAAGAGACTGTTGTGATACAGGAGCCTGGAGGGGCCTGATGAATGCAGGGCGTGGTCGATGGGACCTGTGTGTTTGGTGTTTAGTTTTACGCTGCCGTATTTCCCTTCTTTTCATCGACTGAAAAGTAACAGACATGAATTCCTTGTTGCAACAGACCATCAAAGTTTTATTAGTATTAGTCCATGAATTTCACTGAACTGTGCACATTTTCTAAGGTTGGACAGCAGAAGCCTGCGACTATTTGCGCAGTCAGCTTTTAAAGACAGGGATTTTACAACATCCCTAAAAGAGTTAATGAGTTATTTACCCTAGCTGGCCTCAATAACTATGCTGCACTACTAACAGTGTTGGGGAGTATGTACATGTACATGTACATTACGTTACGTATTTAAAATACAAAATATGAGTAACTGTATTCCGTTACAGTTACCGTTTAAAAAGGTGGTATTCAGAATACAGTTACTTTGTTGAAATAAATGGATTACACTGCGGTACTTTCCTGTTTCATTTTGTCGCGGGTCAGGACTGTTTGGGTTTTGTTTGACAGCTACGTTCTGTTGTTCCAGGCGGCAGCGTTACGGTTGCGGTTGCCATGGTTACAGGGCGACGCTCTCTCTCTCTCTGCGACTGTGTGTTTCCTGGGTGAGAGAGCGCCTTTTCTTGTTGTTGTTGTGCTAAGCTAACAGGCAGAATGCTACAAGCATAGCTCTAAAGAATGTAGCATCATGGGCAGTGTAGTCCGTGCTGCAGGGAGAATGGACTGCCATACACGTTATGTGTCTGTGAGCGAGGAGGGAGAAAAAGGGGAGTGGAAAGGTACGAGTTGTCATCGAGGAAAAACGGGAGCTGGAAGCATGTAAATATAATAATAACCACTGCAGCCAAGAAGAGTGCCTGACGAGCCCAGTTGTAAGTAAGCTATTAAGACTCGACTGTACACCGTGTTCGTGTTTTCCTCCGAAAACAATAAGTTCCGTTGGAGCAGCCTTTCAACGCCTCTCTCTGTCTCTCGCAAGAAAAGTTGACCCACACAACAAAGTAAAGCTAGTTTTCGGCTACGAGCCGACAGGGACCCCGCCGTATTAGTCAGAGGTCCCTTTACTACAGTTCGGAGTCGCGGACCTTCAGTAACAGTAATAAATCACAGCAATAGTACATTCACGTTGTTGTAAAAAGCATGATAATATATTAAGTAATCCAAAGTATTCAGAATACGTTACTGTCATTGAGTAACGTAATGGAATACGTTACAGAATACATTTTGGGGCATGTATTCTGTAATCTGTAATGGAATACATTTTAAAAGTAACTTTCCCAACACTGACTACTAATGATATATTTTAGAGTCTGTGCGGCTAGAAGTAGCAAGAAATGACTCATATAGTGGAACAATAACGGCAATCAATGGCCCTCCTGACCTTACATATGACTTCAACTCTCACATGAACTGTCTGAATCAAATGGAGGCTTTTTCCACTGTTTTATACACACATGGATGAATGAAGAAAAGAAAAAATGAATGTCACTATTGAACATTTATTAAAAGTGCCACTTTTTTTCTGTCACAGACGCACGTGGATAGGGTAGGCACTAGGACCTGCTGTGAGCCAAACAGCAGGGAGGAGAAGCTTTGGGACTGTAAACTTTTAGAGCAGTCCATTTCCCAAAGAGTGTGGGAGGGAGACAGACAGAAGTGGATGGCCCAAGACCTGGATTCACAGCTTTAAAAGTAGGAGCGGGATTTTGAGTTTGGGGCAATTCTTCCCCAGGCCTGGAGAGAGTGAGGTGGAATATAGCAGACTTTCTGTGGAAGTTTTTACTCAGTGGGGAGAAAGAAAAAGGAGCATTAAAGGGTGGTGAGTCCTACCTTGCTTTTTTTTTTTTTTGCTTTCTTTTTCTTTTTATTAAACACTGTAAATATGCGGGGCGTGTATCCACACATGGCACAGAAGCAGAATCTATTACAGAAACTCTGAGAGCATGTTGTTAAATGTAAGTTGAGCCTCTAAATTGAGATTGAGAACAGCAGCAGCCACTTTTCTATAGAGAGGGGGGGTTTCAGCTGACTGCAACATACATGAGGCACTATTAAAAGTTTACCGAGATAATGTTGCTGATGATTGCATTTCTGTGTCATTTTAATGTTGTGAGCCGGGTACAGGGGTTTTTCAGGTATTTGCAGATGCAAAGATCAAACGGAGGAGGACAAGGTGTAGAAAGAAGGAGAGAATAGAGGTGAGGAGTAGAAAAAAAGGGGGTTCTTCAAACTTCAATGGGAACCCGTTTACTGTTCAGAAAACTCCTGGGACATCAGGTTACCTTTTCTTTTTCTCCCTCTCTCTCTGTCTCTTTCTCTTTTTTCTATCTGTCGTTCTCTCCACTCATGTTACACAATTCTCAAAAGACTTGCAGATTCTGATGAGCTCCAGTGTCCAATATGAAGCATGTTGAGGGTATCCTCACACCTGGGTGGGGCTTGTTGTTTATAAGGTGTGCTACTAATCATTTTTTCAACTCTTTAAACGAAATTTTTAAAATTGTGTTGTGTATGCGTGCGTGTGTGTGTGTATATGCAAGCAAGCGTGGGTGCTAAACACAGACCTCACGCCTGCCACTCCTACGAGGGAATTCCTTTCGGGGTTTGACAGGAGAGGAATGTCACAGTGAGCCAAAGATTACACACACAAACAAACATGAAGCAAATCAACAGTGTCACTAAAGGCTTCACCTTTGTCATATACGTGTGGCTCTCTGTGAAAAACATGCATTCATTGGTTCTAATATAATGTGCCGAGGATGCTGTTTGGTTGTGGTCCATAAAATCACCAAATATCAACATTGATATATCAATATAGGTATCATATAGATAGGTGTTATGTTTTGTCACCCACCAACTTACCTGTATTATCTGCTACAGCAGCAGTGTACTGTATTTATGCACCTTTGTGTTAGATAATAAAATAAAAACAGCTGAGGTTACTGCAGACTGGAAGGAGTAAAGAAGCAAAGTTTCTTTAAAAACAGTAAAGTTATAAGTAAATGGCTGATGTTACTGGAGGGGATGTGATTCTCTGCCCCCTGAAATAAGAAATATTGGTTCTCTCCCCCAGTTTAAATCCCAACTCAAAACTCATCTGTTCAAATCTGCATATTCACTGTGAATCCACTGTTTGTTCATTTTATCTTGTGCTTTATTTTATTGTTCTTATTGTTCTTATTCTGTGTTTTATCCTATTGTAAAGTGTCCTTGGGTGACTTGAAAGGTGCTCATAAATAAAATTTATTATTATTATTATTATTATTATTATTATTATTATTGCCTTCATCTCCTCTCTGTTGGCCCTCTGTTGGCAAAGTGCTGCAGCAACCTGACTATATATCCTACATGACATGCTCTTCTTTATGGTTAACGCAGGAGGAGTCAGCCAAGGCTTAGTTAAAATGAATGTTTTGTAAGTTAAAAATAAAAATAAGATGGGCCGTATTCAAACTTCAGGTCTGAAATGAGTTTTCTCAAGCAAAACAGGTTCTTTTTCTGAAAGGGAAATCACAGTAACTGTTATTACTGATTATATCTAGAGTACGCCTTGTTGACCTAGCTGCCTGTCTGCCATCTATGCAGACCGACCTGGACACTTGCTAAATTTGTAAAAGTCCAATTTATGACATATCTCTCTTTTTGCTTTTACCTTTTTTTTCCTCTAATAATTAGAAAACAAAAGGTTTTCCTGTGTGTAACTGTGTTTGCAATTGAAACAGAAATGGTTTTACCCTGTAAATCTTTCAAACCTAGCAATGCATCCAATGCCATTGCTAAAAACAACTTAAGCCATATGAACTACCGTTCGTATATGTATGGAGGGCAGATGGACAGTGCTGTTTTCCCCCGCAGACAAAGATGTCTGTGATTATTCATGACCCTCTCAGGTTTCCCTTTGAAGCTGAGTTACAGCTTTCCCTATGTTAGCACCAGTGTGTGCAGTTGTGTATGTGTGCATTAGTGTGTGTGTGTGTGTGTGTGTGGGAGGGAGAGCGTAACAGAGTAACTCTTTACAAATGAACAAGTATTAAACTACTTAAACAGTGAAGAGGAACATATTCATGTGCAGCAAAGAATGGCCATAAGGAAACATACTGTAGAGTGTTTTTATGTCACAGCTATTTACCCAGAAAAAAAATAACCGTGTTGACCTTTTTAAAGTTACAGACCAGCGTAATACATTTATCCCTTCTTGTTCTACATGCTGTATTTTTATCATTTTGTCAGTTTAAGACTCAAACACCACTGACAGCTTGTTGCTCTGCTTGCTATGTGGACAAGTGACATAATCTGAATCTGCAGTCACTCGGATTTTGACAAGAACAGGATCCACCCCTGAAACACATAAAGGAGGAGATGATGTGGGCTGTCTAGACTGAATGGTTGTATAGGACACCTGGGCAAGGGAGAGGCTGTGACAGCACACCTGTACTGTCAGTTTGTCTTTGATTCTTTAACCCGAGGCCAGCGACAAACAGCTCTTAAAGTGACTCTAGATTTGCAAACACCATAAAATAAACATAATTTTAGTTGGGTTTTCAATGAACAATGAAAATTTTTATTATATCTCTTTTGATGGACATCTTTATTTAAAATATCAGCTGCACTTTGATTATTAATGTGACTAAACTGTGTGCCAAGCATTAGGATTATTCATGCAGTAATCTGCAGGCTAATATAGGATGGGAGTCATGTGACGTAATTTAGGTGACGTTTTAAAACCCACAGCTTCATGCTACTTCAGTAAAAATACCGTATCACCAGATTACACTCAAGTACTACTTGCAGAACTAGAAAAAACGGGGCGGTGCCAGTTGGCAACAGAATATTTAAAGGTTTCTTCACACTGGATGATAATGTCTTATCAGACCACAAAAGCTGGAGGCAGAATAATCACAATCCTTAATAATCCTCAGTGGTTAATTGCCCAATTAGTGACAGGTAGAGATTTTCAAACACCTGCATTTACACCTGCCCACAAGCATTATCTGCACACCTGATCAGCTTCTGAATTGCTTTGCAAGACTTTTCCATGCTTCATGATTCTTCATGCATCCTTTAGAGTAACACTTTTCGTAGCATTACACAACAGGTAGTAAAATTAGTAATATTGTGCGTATTCTAAATCCTTATGTGCTACAGTGTGGTGAAAATATATCATTGGTGATGTGAAGATGAGATTTCTCGATATAAAGGGTTATTTGATTATTTTACCATAATTTTACAATTTAGTAAACTAGTAGTTTTAAGGTGTAGGTTTTGTTAAAACTGTTTAAGTCAAACTTTGACTTTAAAAAATGAATCTAATAATTAAAATTTATTAGGTGAAGGAATCTCATTTCTTTCTCTATGAGTGATGGTTATGCTCGATAAAGCAGAAGGAAGCATCCCTCTTTCTTGATAGTTCATGGGTCAGAATGTAAACCCAGGGCGCTGGTTATCTTTTGGGTCAATACACAAAGTCGGGTGAGAACATCTGGCGTAAAGTAAACTAGTCGAAGGGTCTGTCTGAAATCAGTGGGAAAGGTAAAAGGTCAGAGTTGGAGGTTATACCTCTGTGCTTGTGTAGGAAAAGCGGGATCTGGAGGCCACTGCAGGTCAGAATCCCGAAGGAGCTCTGAGCAGAACAGACAAAAAATATATATATAAAATATCGGAAATGTAACATCAGCTTTCTGCTGTAATTCTTGTTGACATCTCTTTTACAAACATCTTCTCACAATGTTTGGAAGGAAACGTATTCAACAGAAATCTCAGCTAACATTGTTTGACATTTGTAACTTACTGGATTTGAACAGGGCTCTTGTCAAACATGTGCAGGATTCTTTATATGGACCTGGTTTTCTGCCCCTTTGCGCTGCACACAAACACGCTTCCGGACTTTTCCACAGATGAAAACTGAATCCAGTTGCAATTCTGTGTTGAAGATCTGATTTTGACAGATGCTGCATCAAAGGGTTATGTCTGTGTGCTCTGATCTTATTTCTATTTCTATTGTGTGCATAGTACTATATATGCCTACAAAAAATACATCTAAATGTACTGACATGCCTGCTCATTCCACATAAATGCCTCTGTGACTTTTAGCTATGGCTTACTCTGCTTTCATGCATGTGCACGCAGCACAAACACAGTAGCTGAAAAATGGCCTTTCTTACAGCTATAATAACAGTGTTGTGGTCTTAATCTGTTGACTTTGTGCTCGTCTGATGTAGTGAATTGTTTCACTGCAACTCCTCGTTAGATGTGTGTGTACATTTGGATTAACGTGATGACACTGTCTCACTCTCACTTTCCTTTGCCTTTAACCCAATTGGTAGTTTAACTATAGCTTGTCTGGACATGAAACTTGCTCTTGTTGCCATCAACAGAACAAAATACTTGGTCTCCTCAAATATTTAGATTCAGTACAAAAGCCTTGTGAAAATAGCCTGAAATGTCCTTTTTTTGTAACAATGTTCTTTTTTTTACTCTACACAAACATCTCTTCTTATAAATTTTAAAGCGATACAATTTTCTCACCTGGCTATCAGAAGCTATCACAATACAGAGTGTAATAGTAACGGACACCAAGCCCAGCAGTGGGAGAATGGGGTTTGTCAATGAGTATTCACAAAGCGCATGTGTGTACATGTGTATGTATACATGTTTGTGTTGGATACCCTTCAAACACATAGACACGCCTTAGCCCCAAGGATACAAGCGAAGCCTCTCATTATGCACTCATTTTGATTCTGCCGATTTCAGAATGCACAGAATGCATGAGGATGAGCCACTGGCTAGTCGTAACAGATTAGCCTCCTGCACAGCCAGCAG